TCTTAAGTGCTGACTGAGGTGACACTTAAGTGTTGTGAACTAAGGACTACAATGATGTCAACACAAAATGGCTGACCTCAACCTCTGAATCAGCCAGTAGTGAGCCTGCTCATGTAAAGTCCCAATAAAATGAAGGGATTTGTGGAAACTGTGGTTCCTAATTATTGTGATCCAACATTTGCCTCGCATTTCAGGATGAAAAGACAAACATTTCAGGTGAAGGATAATCCACTTCTTACCTCCGAGACTGTGTTATGATCTATATGACCTTATTATTTTTATTGTGAGTATTAGGCTTATCATTATTGCTGATCACCGTTGTTGTGCTATGATATTGTAATATTTACCATTATATAATCAGAGGGGTATAGAAAAGTTTATGAAAGTGTCACTCCATAATACAATAACAAAATATAAATATGTATAGTGTTTTATGTTACATTAATCAGTGTCTAGCACACCTTCCTGAGCAAATGATATGGACCAGAAGACATTGCAATTACTAAATGATATTTAGACAGACTTAAAGAAGTTCCAGATCTATACTTGTGCCCTTATTATTTCAGTTATTTTGCCTTTAATGTAAATAAACATGTGCAAACAATATACTTGCTCCTGTGAATTGATATGGATGTTAATTACATTGTGAGAGCTGTCTCTTTAATACCGTGTGGTTTATATACACATGCTGCTGCTGATTGGGCTGACATGTTTGACACACCCACCAAACAAGAGAAAACGCATCTCAAATACCGTTGCACACCGTTTCCAGGAAACATGTCGTTCAAACCGGAAACCGTAGCAAAACTGGTTTGAGCTTGAACTTGCCACAAGTTTTAAACGTCCAATTGATGTAATATTGATTAATCAGTATGTTTAATTGGGTTTCTTAACTGAAGGCTCGAAACGCATTTGGCACATATTTTGAACCGTGATGTGCAGCCGTTGAATTTCTGCATGCGGAGCTGCTGACTTGAAAACTAAAAAAAAAAAAAACTTTTGTTTTGTACATTGCTCATGCTGAAATAGAAAGGTAAACAGTGGAGTGATTATTACATTTATTAAATCTACCAAAAATACCGATTTGCTGATAATACATTCACTGTAAAAAATAAATAAATAAAAAATACAGATTTTTTTTCACTCTTTAAAAAATATTGTTAAAACAATTGAAAATGTATAAAAACTTCAGAAATATGCATTTTTATTGAATATATGACCTTTTATATATTTTTAAATAGACTTTTTAAAGGACCCCCAAAAAAACCGTGCAACCAAGTTAATGTATCTGGTCCATATGAGTTACATTTTTCGGATTATTACTTTTAATATCGTATCATAATATCATATCATCATACATTCTTTGCTGAAATAAACGGCATTTATGATAACTATGAAGATTTTAAATATTGCAACTAGAGGAAATCCCGCGCGGCGGAAGGATACCCTCTCCTCATGCACACACAGTGGAGCAGCAGCACGGCGGGACTCGACTGTCAGCAACCGTTCATTGATGTGAATAAAACAATAAGCAAGTAAAATGCCTTTTTTTGAACAATTGCTTCTAGCATTTGGAACTTTGTTTTGACCATCGTTGTTTAGAGTCGTTATTAAGCTTAATCTTTATTGTGTGTGTTTTTAAACTTGCATTTACAAGAAACCCAGAAAATGCAAGTTTAAAATGTTGTTTAAATCAGCGAAAATGTCAGACTAACGTTACTCTGAGTCCAGATTAATTGGGAGGCCTACGAACTAAAATTTCGATTAGAGTCAACGAATTTAACAGATAATTTCGTGCGGTGTCGTCGTGTGCTATTCACATAGACTGTGTCCTATTTTTATTTACCTTTATACGTATTTGTAATTCAAGTTATACATTTAGCAACTGTGGTTAACGTCAACGGCGTTTGGTCTGTCTGAATACTCGATTCTGATTGGCTGGTGTGCGTTCACACAGTTGAATGCACTTGTTGTTCCAGTCAGTTTAATCACCTCTAAATTAATGCGCAGCCTTCACTGAAGCACAAACAGGTGCACAGAAACTGATTTAATTGATTTGATGCGTTTCAATACTAATATTTCTTTGGATTTTTGTAGAATTTTTAATTATCATGTCCCATGCACTCACATGTTTGTTTTTGTTTCTCTCTGCAGATCATTTTATGTGAGTTGCTGATATCAAGGGAAAGCTAAAAAGGTAAAAAAATTATTATTTAGAGATGTTTAAGATTGTTATATATATATATATATATATATATATATATATATATAAAAGTGTTTTTAAATGTCATGTTTACTGGCAGTCATTGCTTTGTTACTGTGTGAGCCACTACAGGGATTCTTTACATGTGAACATTATAGGGGTCATACGATGCGATTTCAATTTTTCCTTTCTCTTTGGAGTGTTACAAGCTCTTGGTGCATAAAGAAGACCTGTAAAGTTGCAAAGACTAAAGTCTCAAATCCAAAGAGATATTCTTTATAAAAGTTCAGAGTCAGCCACACCTACCTAAAACGGCTCGTTCTAACTAGGGATGCAGCGATTAACCGCGTTTTAAAACGTCACGGTTAATTAATCGTAAAGGTTCCGCTAAACCGAGTGCGCAAAACGAAAAAAGTTACACCAGCTTAAATTGACGTGCTTATCAGAGGCACGGAGGCTACTACATGCATTAGATGAACTGACAGAGGGACCAAACAGCGAAGCTTTATTTCCACCAGAGAAATGCTTGTCGATAGTGTGGGACCATTTTGGGTACACCAAGAATGACCAGGGTGTCATTTAAATATTGCTGTAAAAAACTGCTGCTAAAGAGCGAATACATAAGGGATAATGCACGGCTTGCTGTACATTGAACGATTTTAATGCACGACGTGAAGATAAGAACCACCTGACGCGAAGCATTTGCGACTGAAATTTTTTTAGGAGCACCAGTGCGACTGACCCGATCATCATCATATTTGTGATCGCTGAGGGGAGCTTCAAAGCTTTCTACGTGTTTTTGCAGCGTTGAGTAATGTATCACAGACATATCTCACGAATCCTTTTATAAGCAAAGTGTAGACAGGGTGTAAATAAGAGATTCATTGCGCAGTGTAGAGAGCTTCGTTGATTATAAATGTGAGATCGAGATGAACTAAGATGAGTAACAGCTTTTAATGATTTTTAAGGGAGTTTGTAAATGTGATACTGATTTAATACAATTCAATAAACAAGAAGTTAATATTAAGTGACTTACATTGACTGACTATAACACTATTGTCTGATTTTGCTCTATTTCGTGT